ACTTTCCTTACTTCCTTCAGTAAGGCTTCATACACCTTGCTGGTGTATGGAACCTATTTGGAGGTTATCTTATAAGATACCCCAAAATAGGATGCAAATCCATTAATGGCAATGAACATATTTACTGATTTACAGTACATGTGTACTGTATCATTGGCCCAAATCTTCTATATACCACATGAATGCATATATTTTCATAGACATCAAATTTTTTCACCCCCCCCCCCCCCGGCACAGACAACAACAAACACTTCCATGATATTAAAAACAGATACTTTCAGTCTCTATAAAAGGCTTTTAATTAGCTGTTTCAATTAAAAACAGAACAATCAGCTGCATGTGAGTAATTTTTGTAAATAATCTGAATCTTGTATTATGTTTTGAAATGTTCTTCTAAATAATCACATTTATAGATGAAAGTTTTTTGTTTTTGTTTACAGTTCAGTTGTACTTTAACTCATGAAGCATGTACATGTGCATTTTGCTTGCTTTTATTTTATATTGCATTGTAGATATAGTTAAATAGATGTAGATTTATGCATAGTATAGTAGTAGTAGTAGTAGTAGTAGTAGTTAGACTTTATTGGATAACTTGTTTAGCACAGGGCTAATCTGCCAGAAGTATTATTACTTAATTTACAGGATAAAATGAAAGAGGGGGGTGGGGGGAGGGACATTACATGATTTCAAATTAATTTGTTAAATAAAGTACTGATAAGTGAAATTTGCTTGCATTTGAAAGAGATGTTCAAATTCCTTCTTGGTTTACTTCATTTTAATATATTCCTTATTCATTTAGGATAATTTGATGATTCTTTAGAATTCATGTACTACAAAGAATAAAATAGAGGCTCAGAGGAACTTTATTCATTTTGAAAAAGCCAAGTGTAAAACTTGACACCTTTCAAAACCTAAATTGCAGTAACAATTAACACATCTATGCATTTATATACATTGGCAAGAAACATTCCTTATACTAGTTGCAATTATATACCGTGATATATATACATATATATATATTTACAATTATTATAAAAATTGTAAAACTGTATTCTACTAGAGTATACTTCCCTAAACGAGGATCTATTTACACTCAAAACTATTTACACTAAAAATACTTTGGATTATACCAGTTTTTAAATATATAACCATTACATTTACAACAAATACATTTAAGGGAATTAATATTCATATTTATCCAGTTTTTATTTACAGGCTTCCCACTCTGCAATCCTCAATCCTGATGTCATCAATGGAAGATGCGAGTTGGAAGACGAGTCATTGGCAGTCAACTCTTCCGCTGTAGTTGTATTCCAGAGTACATTTATTACAATGCACTTCCAGAAACAAAACAAAACAAAAATGGAGGGATTTTTGAAAGAAGACATGATATCATCTCGTCTTTATCGTGATCCTAGAGGTCTCATTGTTGAGTGATAAAAATCACTCGACTGGGGATGCAAAGACCCTGCAATATGACACTTACAATTGGTTAAAATCTCAGAATAGGGCCTTCAAAGACAAAATTGTTGCGATTAATGGCATTTCCATCGTCATTCAATGATTTCCGCAAGACTTGCCTTATTTTGTAGACTCGTGATAGTAGACCAAGTGCGTTCATTAGAATTCACACCCACCACATTTATCCATGTAGTCTGTTTTATATAGTTTTAGTGTTATTTGAAAATACATTTTCGCTGTATATAAAAGTTCTGCAAATTTCTAGCCATTATATGTAAAAGTATTGCAGTTATGTTTGTTTGAATTATTAAAATTACTTGGAAAATCTGCGAAACCACTTTTGTTTTCTCTTTGCATTTCCTTTCATGTTTTCCTATGTGTACCAAGATATTTTGAAATAAATTTTAAAATCTTATCACAGAAGACTAATTACTTTAATATCTACAAATTTGTAAAATCAGAGTGTACATGTACTATGAACTCTTCAAAATAGAGGGAGGCTTAAAATGCACTACATGTATACAGTATCTGTTTTCATATGCTATCTAGAATAGTTAACCATCTACATTGTATGAAAGATCAATTTATTTTAGTTCGTTTTAAAAATAAATAGGTTTAAGTTATTTTTTTGTGTATAACTTTTTCTTATGGAACTGCCTTTCAAGATTCTACTGCTGTACCAGTGTAAAGAGGCTTATTTCACTGAAATACGTTCTCACATACAAATTAGTCTCCGCCTATGGTGTGCATTCCATGTTGGGAAGTCTTTATTTATACAAATATTGAAAGGGGGGATTCAAGGGAGGAATGCATGTGATAGATGTAAAATTATTTGACCAGACCGATAACTGTTGTCAAATTAGCTTTCAAAGAAAATGTATAAAATAATTGATTTAGTCTATAAGTACCCCATAAATATATGTGTGTATGAGAGATTGGGTATTTCTTTGCCTCAGATTCTAAACAAAATCCTGGATTTAGCTCATGCTGCAATCGTACTTATAAACCTTTAGGTCAGCCAGGACCCCATGACTTATACAAGGCAGCCCATCACTAGCTGTCTGAAATGATTGAAATTAGGAATGTCAAAAACTGTATGCCAAACAGTTTTTTTATAACCCAGCAGTCTATTGGCAGGGGTGATAGTGAGCACTAAAAAAAAAATAGGTTTTTTGTTTTCCCCTCAACTACACCCCTTTGAGAAAAAAAAAGAAGAGAGGATTCGCGGGGAAAAAATGGCATTTATCAACATTCCCCCCTTTCGAGTAAGAAAATTGGGAAAAAATGGGGGAAAAATAGGGCAAAATATGGAAGAATAGAGAAAATAAGAGGGATCGGGAAAATCAGGAAAATAGGGAAGAAAAAAAAATTGGTAAAAAAAAAAAAAAAAAAAAAAAAAAATGATTTTTTTTTTTTTTTTTTTTTTTTTTTTTTTAATTGGGAAAAAAAAAATCGGGAAAAAATCGGGAAAAATCAAAAAAATCGGGAAACCGATTTAAATCGGGTTTTTATCAGGCCTGTATTGGGGAAAAATGAGTAGGGTATTTAAAAATAGTCACTCAAAAAACAAGTCACTTTTTTGAAGCGCAATGCTTTTATGGCTTCAATATTGCACCATATCACAGATAAGTACTGATGCATCTCAGATTTGTAAAACTGGAAACGTTGTTAATCAATGCTTTTAACAATGTTGAGGAAAAAATACTGAATTACACAGCTACTCACCAGTAGCTGGCCATCAAAAATCCTATGAACATTTTACTTTTGCAGAACCCAAATGTTGGAATTCCCTTGCCAATGATTTGAAAGAGAGACCCACTTAATATTTTTTCAGTAATGCAACTCTAACGTTATTTTCTCCGGCAGTGTAAAATGATTATTTTTGTCAATGTATTATTGTTCACTTTTTCATCTCGCATCCATGCCTAGCATTTCAGAATTTACCAGTCCCATCTTACTCCATACTAACCTCTCCTCTCTCCTTTGCTTTACTTCTCACTTCATCTCTCTGCCTCGCCCCCCCCCCTTCTCTCTTCATCTACCCATTTTTTTTCTCCCCCCCCCCCTCCCTCCCTTTATTCCTCTATCAACCTAAAGCTGTAACATATTGTATTTTGTTTCATTTCTCTTTTTGTCTTGGTTTAGTGTATTCATTTGTTTTTTTCTGTACATGTACCCTACTTATTTCATGATTTACAGAACGTTCTTTCATGTTATTAATTATAATGATTCAGGATTATTTACTTCCATACATGTATAATCTTAAGAAATATCAATGTTTTGTTAAATGTATTACTAGTATGCTTTATTTTTTGCATGGAATATGAATACATTTACAATATCATTCCAAAGCTATCTCGACATTTATCAAAAAAACAAGCACACTTCACAATCGACCTCCATATCACTGTCATCTTAAATAGAGTCAAATGCACAGATGAAATTTATCATGAAAATTGTTTATTATACAAAAGAAATCCTATCGGTCCACTGACAAAAAATACTCGACAAGTTACGGATGTACAAAAAAATCCAAGAACATTTACAGGGATCCCTCCCATGATTTCATTTACAAAGTACGTACATAACGATGACAAGTGCCGAGTGCTGATTTGTCAAAAATATAAAACTTGTCAAGTTTAAAACCAAATCATTCTTGTAATGAAATCCCTGAATGACTTGAGGAACAGAGTGAATTTGAGTCCTATTTTCCTCAATACACAATTCTCCTTCAAACATTACCTCAAAAATAATAACTGTGTCGTAAAAATCACATTAAAAAATGATTGAAGAAGAATCCAAAGATTTTGTACCCAACAGATGTATTTTTACTTTGACTTTCATCTTTCCACAGACAAATTTCCATTAAGATAATTAAAAACACCTCATTTCCGACATCTGTCATCAGTGACTGTTTGTTGGTGTACCACATCTCCCTCTATGATTCAAAGGTTGACGAGTCTTGGCTATGGAAAAGCGTTGGCAATTTACAAAAAAATTACAAATATTATAAGAGGGTATAAAGGAATGTGTAACGCAACAAAGATGCTCTACAAATAAATTATTTTAAAGTTGCCAACGTCTAAGCAAATTCCATGCAATTCACCTGTAACTTCTTGTTGCCCTGAGCATACAGCCAAGTAATTTTGCAGCACCCTGAAAACATTACATGTATTTTAAATTGAGTGCAAGATCTTAATGTCTTAAAGAATGCTTCCTTATCCAAATACTATATTTAAATAAACCATGACCCAAACCAAATAACATTTATCAAAAATATTCAGAATGCCAGATCGGCTAAAAGACCAATCATTTGTAAAAATCAGGGTATCAATTCATGAATTTTGTACTTGAAATGTTTTGTTTAGTGAGGCTGAGTTTTTTATGAGGCTGTTCTTTGACCGACAGTGCACCATAGGACAAATGGAGCTTTTAAGTCCAATATGATGTAGAAGTGTTGCATCCGTTGCAGTACTATTCAGCTGATAAAGAGTTCCAAGAATACAAACCAGCATTGATTCTTAACTGGATGACGATCTCTCACAAAAGATATTAACTATTTACAAACATGAAGACGGACAATCAACGCTAATTTCTTGGGGGACCTGTACAGAATGAGAAAAAAAGGAAGAAAGTTAATTAATTAATTTACTTCCAACACTTTTAACAATCCCATAAATCATCCTACAATACAAGAAACGCCTATTTCAGGGAGTTAATTTTTGTAGTCTGCAAGCAGGAGAAAGATGAGAAATATAATGCTTCTGACCCCATGGCAGAGGCACAAATTTACCAATAGGCAAGAACATGACTGGTTATGAAACAAAACATATTATCAAGAGATGAATATTTGGACTTCATGTGTCGCATAAATTTGACAAGACACCCCCTCGATATATAGAGAAAAACACATCAGTAAAACGAGAGGATGGGGTGGATGATATTTTAAATATTAAAAAATTTAAGGGCAGGGGCCGTTTTCTGAAGAAAGAAAGAGGGAGAGAGAGGGAGATGCCTTTAATGAAAAAGAGTGAAAACAGGATTACAAAATTTAAACTCAACCATTATCAAAGTTAAATTGAAGTATTACACCAATTCAAATGGAATACACAGCAGACCATATTCCGCTTACATTGCATAAATATGGTACTAACAGTAGTTAACATCATAATTCCTACCTCTCATGCCGGGTGGTGGTCCCATACCCATGGGGGGCATACCTCGTCCCATTGGGGGTCCTCCTCGGAACCCTGGTGGTCCCATACCGGGCGGTCCCATTCCAGGTGGTCCCATGCCTGTATCAAGAGAGAGCGAGAGAGAGAGAGAGAGAGAGAGAGAGGGGGGGGGGGGGGGTAAGGGGATGAGTTACAAAGCACTTCGTGTAAAACCACAATTTTAATTGTTAATTTTCAACTGTCAAATGCAGCCCCCCTCATCCCCTTAAAAAAATATTGAAAAAAAAAATACACCTATTCAGAAGGTAAGAAAAAACAAAAAAACGGAACAATATACAAATACCCATGAACTGATGGAAGTCTTCAAGTCATATTTGAAGGTTGCCAAGGAAACAAACAATTAATATACAATTGTATTTTCAACTAAAAAAAAAAAGAGGACTTCATTGAATCTCAGATATTTGTTAACGAAATGATAAAAAATATAATTCTCACAAAAATGAAAAAAGGAAGATTGATAAACTTTAGTTTAATTGGAGAGACAAACAATAAGAACAAAGCATGTCTGATTAACTGAATACTTCCAGATTTAAAATATCACGGGTCTGTGTGACCTAGAAGGTCTCTGTTTACATTTTAAAATCCAGAGTCAAAATACTGGACATCAATGGGTACCGGACCCCTGTGAAGTGCTGCTGGGCAGACATTTCACACTTCTGCAAGCAACAAGCAACAAACCATTCATAGTAAAATAAAAAATATCAAACAAATAATGATAAACAAGTATCTTACCTGGGGGTCCCCTAGGTGGTCCCCTTGGACCAGGGTAGCCTCCTGGTCCACCTGTAACAAGACAAACAAATCAGTTGGGTTAATAATGAGAGTTGAAAACTTGGTTTCTCAAAGCAAAAGACCTTGATGATTATTGTTCTAGATATAAACTAGATGGAATTTTGACTGCGCGCAGTCGAAAATGATGCCTCCGCCATAGAGCAATTTAAACAAGTTTGGAGTTTAAATCTCCAGTGGTTCTTGAGATATCATGATAACAATCTCAATGTATGGAATTTCATAAGTTGACCTCTGTGACCCTTGACCTTTGACCTACGTGCTCCAAAATCTAATCAGATTGTCTTCCTATGGTGATACACACTATCATTAAGTTTGAAGTTTAAATCTCCAGTGGTTCTTGAGATATTATGATAACAATCTCAATGTATGGAATTTCATAAGTTGACCTCTGTGACCCTTGACCTTTGACCTACGTGCTCCAAAATCTAATCAGATCGTCTTCCTATGGTGATACATACTATCCTTAAGTTTGAAGTTTTTACATCTCCAGTGGTTCTTGAGATATCATGATAACAATCTCAATGTATGGTATTTCATAAGTTGACCTCTATGACCCTTGACCTTTGACCTACGTGCTCCAAAATGTAATCAGATTGTTTTCCTATAGTGATACACACTATCACTAAGTTTGAAGTTTAAATCTCCAGTGGTTCTTGAGATATCATGATAATCTCAATGTATGGAATTTCATAAGTTGACCTCTGTGACCCTTGACCTTTGACATACGTGCTCCAAAATCTAATCAGATCGTCTTCCTATGGTGATACATACTATCCTTAAGTTTGAAGTTTAAATCTCAAATGGTTCTTGAGATATCGCGCTAACAAACTCAATACAAGGAATTTCATAAGTTGACCTCTGTGACCTGTGACCTTTGACCTACGTACTCCAAAATCTAATCAGATCGTCTTCCTATGGTGATAAATACTATTCCTGAGTCTTAAGTTTAAATCTTAAATGGTTCTTGAGATATTGTGATAACGGTCAAACGGGACGGACGTACGGACGTACGGACGGACGTACGGACGTACGGACGGACGTACGGACGTACGGACGGACAACCCGAAAACATGATGCCTCCGGCACCACCTTCGGTGGCGGAGGCATAAAAATTGGAAGGAATTATCCTCACGAAAAACACAATAAAAAAATCCCTCTTATCATGATGATGATGATGATTACTTAATGATGATGATCATCATCATCATATTAACCACTACCATAGCCACCACCATTATCATCATCACCATCATCATTTTTATACAATATGAACATGAGATAACAATGGTCAAATCATAATGCCAAGCTAATGAGAAACAGTTACATATGGTAAAAGTTACATCCATGATAGAAAGTGTAAATATCTAAATTTCATTTACACATACATTGAATTGATTCATTATCTATACTCTCTCGCCAAATAATAATATAAATAATAATTTTGTATTTTAAAAATAATCATTATAATCATACTCTCTTGCCTAGCTCAATACATAAGTACTGAATGACTAATTGACAATGAAACACATCAGAGAATCTGTGCTATGGTTAGTACACAAAGTTACCACACCCATGTCCTTACCCATAGGTGTCATATGTGATTGTGATGGGCCGCCGACGCCCCTGACTGGTCCTGCCAGTCCTGCTGGTGCGGACATTGAGGCAGAGGCTGCGGGGATACCACGCCCTGCTGCACGGGCCATGCCTGGTCCACTGCCACCACCGGGCATGGGTACCCGTGGACCCTGTGGGGAAAACGAGACAAACGATGGTTTAGGCATTGTGAATCTTAGTAGTGCCAACTGCCAAGATCTTTAAAAAAATTATTGTTCACTTGCCCTCATGAAGAATATGACATGTAATAATTTCATGAGTAAATAAGTCACATTCACAAGGAAATAATTATGGGTAATGATTATTGATTATTTTTGTTCTTTCTCAGCAGTTGAAAATGATGATTCAAATTGAATTAATCAAATGAGTCATTGTTCTTTTTCATCATCATATCTTCCTCACTTTCATCAGCAATCAAAATTGCATCATATATAATTATATGTACTGTACAATGTCAACAACGAACATTATGTAACCTCAGTGTCAAATAAAACGACCAGTCTTCATGTGATGATTATCAATTTTGATTTTTGATGCATCCATGTTTATCAAAGCATGTCTCACCAACACAGAGAAATCAAATCTTGTCTTTTTATTTCGTTTTTGTACCATTATTTTTGTTGGGAAAAGATCTATCATTTTTTGTTTTTCAGTGATCTGATGCTAATGCATTTCAGGTAATGCTCCAACAATACTTATTTCATGAAACACTTTGCAGACAAGTCGAGCGACAGCATCGAGATGTTGTTGATCTTGTACTTATGATAGTGTCGTGAAAAAACCTCCTGGAACCCAAACATACAGAGCAAAACATTACCTGATGATTGGTTCACTTAAAAATGAGGCTAAAACAAAAAGCTCTTACTGAATCCTTTGCTGGTCCTTCTACTGTCATGGAAACAAGATGCTCTCCTCTGAGCAGGACTAGTCCTAGTACTCTCTTCTCCTCTTTGGCAGGGGCTTTGGCACTCTTAGCTCGGAGTTTCCTGAACTCCTCACAGTCACCAAGAACGATGTTCATGTGTTTGTCAAAGGCAAGGAATGTGCCTGTGTGGATAAAACATATGTCATTCAGACCAAACATACAATCAATACATCTAGAGTAGTCACCTATAGTATACAGACTCCTTCTATGAAGAAACGTGTTGTATAACTTGAAGTGGTCACTTTTTCTGCTTCCTATAGGTAGCCGTAATAGACAGGTTCATAATTTTTTTATTCCATGTACTTCAGGAAGCCAATCTTTTTCCTTTAACATTTAGACAAATGAAACCACATATTGGCTAGCCTAGTTTAATTTCTTCTCTTCTCAAAGAAAGCATTCATATTCCTCTCACCAATGAATGTGCGTCCATCCTGCAGGTTGACTCTCATCCTGTAGTTGATGTACTGCACCATCTTGGAAGTCCTGCCGACCACCTACAGAAAAAGAAAAAAAAAAGAAAGAAAAAAAAAAAACGACTTCATCAAATGGAGGTCCATAATGATTTACCAAGATTTAATCCAACATTCTACTGACAGATTAATCGTCATCTCAAGTTGGGAACTCATTGGATGACAGGAAATTCTTTCATGATCCTTCCCATCTGATTTTCTGAACAGGCTGCCTCCTTCAAGTCCTTACTCACTTTTGTTGGCTATAGTGGTAAAATCTATCAGTTACAGCATTAAGAGGTTAACTTCATATAGAGGCTGTGTAAATCATGAGCCTTGTTCATTAATCCCTTTTGACGCTTACTCTGTGAGCTATATTGTGAGTGTGATATGCTGAGAATTAAGGGTACATGTATAAATTAACATTTTCCTCAGAGAAATTGTTATTATAAGCTAATGGGAAAGGTCCTCCAAAGATGACGTAAGGAGTTGATCTATCACAACTTAAATTGTTCAGGAGTGTTCACAACTTTTCTTTCAAGCTTTCCCTGTAACTTTCAGTAATCTGTCTCTCTAATATCTGCTGCTATTAGCATTAACTTGACAACTTTTCATTTACAGCTCTTTACTCATTCACTCCAAGACATCAACAGACCCTGATTAAGAATGGAGTTTCATCTTTCAGACTTTTTACATTGTCTATGACGTCAAAGTCAGAGTCCCCATATGTTCATATCTAATTGATAGTTTGGTATGCACTCGTATTGTGCAGTGGTTTGCTGTGAAACCTGTGAGAAAGTGTATACTTATGTCTTTGTTTTTTGAAAAATATTCCAAAATAAGAAAATTGACACAAAACAGGCAAGAAAGATAATCTTTTAAATGACCATTAGGCCTAAAATAAAAACTTGTTGTATTGCCCTTTGCGACCGACTCAAAGATCTGAAAATCTACGGTCGGCATTTTAAAAAAAAAATTAAAAAATTAACCATTTCTTTAGATTTTTTTTTAAATTAATAAATAAAATAATATGTATTTTGTTTGTTTAAATGGGATATAAATGCATACAATCAAATTATTCCAAAATTCTCACTCGTGCAAACCATGGATAATTATGAGGTGAAAAAGATATTAATGGAATGATGACGCTGAAACACATGTATTAAACACAGAAATATCAGCCAAAAGATCTCCAACCTAACTCGAAATTGGTCAGTGTCGCACAACTTTCTACAATTCCGGGTTCTGTTAGCACATGCGCTAACATATGCATAGCCATATGTAGAAGTCTATTGCGAAACTATGTGTGCTGTCGCAATGAATTTAGTATGTGTGTGAAGAGGAGCTCTTCCGTATTCGCTCCATTGCAGCGAATTTGCAAATGACACACTTGCCGATGTGCAAGAGGTATTTGTACGATACCCTGTCCTAATTGCCATGCGGTAGCACTCGTCCAGTATTCGGTCAACGCATTGACATTCAGTGCTTTGTCGCGCAATTGTGTGAAAATAGTGCGCAAATACGCTTCGCTCCTTGGCAACGGAGATACCACGCACAAATCGCGCAACCAAATTCTGGGCAGAAAAATGCTCCGTCTTCTTTCAGAAATATTTTGCTTATCATCATTCTATATTTTAAGTGACTATAAAAACCTGTTAGAGGAATAATTTTCTTTTCTTTTGATGGGTAGATTGCCAAATAAAACTTAAAAGAGGTAAGAATTCAAAATATTAGCGATCTCCCCTTGCTTAAAGGTAATACAAAGTTTTGGGAAATTTTGAAAATTGGGTGGATAATGATTTTTTACAATTTTGAGATATTTGGATGCCCCTGTGGATGTATTATAAGCACTAGAAACTTTAGCCCTTAAAACACTTCTGCTTTCGAGAAAAATTGAATATAAAAATTTACCGGTGCTCCCGGTGCTCCCGGTAAATTTTTGATAAATTTCAAATAGCGCCTACGGCCGTACAATGGTAGCAGCGACCATGAAAATATCAGAATATGTAGTTGTGATATATAATTTCCAAACGGGAATAGCTAATCGGTCGATTTTAGTCAAGAAACATTGTTTTATAGCTCAATTAATATCTTGACCTTGAGAGGGAGCTATACAACATAAAGAGTTTATTATTTACAATTTCATAACTTTAGACTCGATTTCAACCGCGACAACGATCACTGAATATTGTAGGATCGCATATGCTTCCAATATGTTCATTTGAACCAAATTCATGACCCCATACCAAAACTTTGTATTACCTTGAACATGTTGAAGTTAAGTGACCGAATACTGGGCGCGCTACCCATGCACATTGACTTATGAGTGGGCAGTGGCTCATTTTTCAAGCTGACCCAGTATTCTAATTACACTTTTCTTTCAAATGTAAATCATTCACAGTATGAGGTCAAATATTTCCTCGATCTCAAGATACATTTAGATGAGAACAGCAAAACATACACAAATACATATATGTGGGACACTGTACTATACTAAAATTTCACTTCCGTAGATTATCACCAATTGTGAAGTAAATACAATACATTCAACATAAATATGGATATATTCTATTTCGAGTATCTATGTTTAATACATTAAACTTTTCTTACCATTTTAAGAGATTGTTATAGCCCCGATGTAGAAGGATATTCGGCGCTTTCGTCAATCGTCGCAAAGATCCACAAAACGACACGCTCACAAGATATCAGAGTCGCCGCTTTAGAAATGTAACCAATCACAGTTTGCAGCTCATGTCTACCTCTTATCGTGTGAAAGTTACAGGCACATTGATTGGTCATTCAACACAACAAAGATGGCAGCGCCCATGGTCATGTAGTTCTTGTCCCTGAATACAAAGATTACTCTTAAGTTTATTTGACATACTTAATCGGTCCGTTTAAACATTCGTCACTTCAAATGGATGAAGATGAATATGGAGATATTGACTGGAACTACGATCAAGCTGTACGTATAGTCTAGTTTTGTTTAATAGTAATAGAATAACTCCCATCCCACGTCCACTTTGTCAGCGTTTGGCGCGGGGAAGCCAGGGGCATAGCGGCAGTGGTAATACCCCCAGGGTGGTCGGCGCTTGGTCAGAAACCTATCCAAAATTTGACCCGTAAACTCCGGCGTAGAGATACCCTACTAAAATATACCCAAAATTAAGTAAATATTCATGAAATGTCCAGATAAAGATCATGAGTTAAAATTTGTTATGTTTATTTAGAGTCTAGACTTGTTCTACTGACTGTTTCGTGACAATTTTCTTATATTTGGAGTATTTTCAGAAAAACATTGATTATTATACACTTTTTCTCAGGTTTCACGGCAAACCGCTGCACAAAATACAAGTGCATACCGATGGTGGGTTGCAGGCGGGCACGCGCCTGTGTGAAGTTATCTACATGTCATGATAATGATTAATGAGGATCTGAGACATCATGGTTGATAACTTCACACAGGCACGCGCCCGCCCATAACACAATCGGTATGTAGACTAGACTAGAGTCTATATGCACTTGTATTTTGTGCAGCGGTTCTGCACCCGCATCCAGTAAACAGAACACCCAAAACAGGGTACCTTTTCACTTCAGATTCACATGTTTGACGTCGTCGATGTTTCCGCATAAAATCCAAAAAAGTTCTTTTACCAGTTCATTGGCCTACTCGCAGGTTTCAATGTTTTTTTTTTAAAGGGTCATTTTAGAAAAGGTGTGATACGCCATTATTTAATATTTAGGGTCCATTTCAGAGGTTGCGACCGGAAGACCAATAGGACTACCTTTCCGTATACTGTTGATGTTGATGTTCATGTTGATTGACATGGACATGGGTAGCACTTGTGTACGACTAATCTATGCTATGAGAGCTTGAGAGTGACCGCCTGCTTTTTTTCTTTAAAAAAAAATGAAAACACATGAAAAACATACTGCTAAATGATCTTTTTCTGATTTAAAAAATCAATAAAAACATAAATGCCGGTGGCCATCTTTAAAAAATAGCCCTGCGCTAGTTCATTTGGGGTATATTTTAGTAGAGTATCTCCACGCCGGAGTTACGGGTCAAAGTTTGGATAGACTTCTGAACTAGCGCCAATAGAGCTATCAGGGAAAATGTACTACAGGCCATTTTGAGAAAAAGGCAGGATGCTAAATATCTTTGTTTTTTAAAATGGCCTAATGAATAAATAAAAGTAACGGTTAACACATAATTTTAAAGAATACAAATTTTTCATTAATTTTGGAAATGGCTCGTGATGGCTCCTGGTGTTTCACCAGGGAAAAAAATATTTAAAACATTTCGGGGGCTACTTTTCAAGCTTGCGTGCATGAGAGTAACACTCTTCAATTTGTTTTGCATTGAACTTGATGCAAATTTTTTTTTTTGGGGGGGGGGGGGCTTTTTTATGACTTTCAGAGTTTTGGGGGCTCTTTTGGGCATTTTGGGGGCTAAATTGCACTGAGCCCCCGTGTATTTTTCCCCTGTGTTTCACAAAGATCCTAAGTTGAACTTATCTCTTATGTTAGACTTAACATTTATGGGAAGCCATTAGCATTGATGAAAATATTTTTAAAAGTTATTTAAAAGGCATAAAATGTTGATTCAAATCATTCATATTTTCTATTATCAAGGAAATTTCATGTTCTTGATATGGAATTTATAAACAAATCTAAAATATTTGAGTGTTCACTTTTGAATATATTTTATTTTTAGGCTGCAAATGGCTCTCCATAATATTTAAAGGGATAGTTGAGTTCTGTTGCAGAGGGGCACTACACAAAATAATGTTTTGTAAGATAATGAAAAACTGAGTGTCATATTTGAAAGAACATACAATTTAAATGACAAAATCATCTTTGTTTGATCAAAATCGGTTCAGAGACGGCTGAAATATCCATAAATATAACGATTTCTAATACTTGTGTACCACCACAAATATTAGATAATTTGAAAAAGCTGTTGAAAAAAATGAAATAGCACCTTTTACGTTACATCTCAGCCAATGCCGATGTTGGCTTTTTTGTTGGCATTTTCGTGTTGGTTATATTACGCACAACCAGCCGGCCCATGTATTGTTATTTTTAATTACCGTATTTTGTTTAAAGTGGAGCTAAATTAGTATGATTGTATTGGCTAAATTTCACACATTTTGGGGTCTAAAATTACCTTCATAGCAATTTTAGGTTCTAAAAGTGCAGTAGAAATGTCATAGATAAGAATAAGAGCAATAACCATGCACTTTGAAGGCATTTGCGGTCTGAAAACAGAACTCAACTATTCCTTTAAGTCCAACTTAGAGTTACGTTCGACTTACATGTAGGATCTTTGTGAAACACTATTTCAGATATTTAACTCTCGATGTGCTTTGACTTACGGAAAGTCTTGGTTTAGCGTTATATTCGCTCGGTCAGCTAAATCTTCACCTACAAACTGAAACAGATGGTCCCCTGTTCGAAACTAAGCCACATATTTCTGTAATATGGGATAGTGACATCAAACATGATTAATACACATCTTTGAAGAGTCAATTTTTACTTACATTCTCTCTACTACAGTTGCCCGGTTTCTTTCAGATCACAAATCTGGGAATATATTTTGCTTGTCATATGATGATGTAATTGTATTGTCTCACTTTCTTTCAGGAAACTGCTGCGGATGAGGATGAGGAAGGAGAAGAAGATGAAGACCCTGATAGATACAAAGAGAATGAAGAGATCACCAAAGAATGCCTGGAAGCCTTCGCCAGCACGGATTACATCATGGAGCCTGGAGTCTTCAAAGATCTCAAGAGGTGAATGGATGTGAACGTGTCTCGCTAACCCTACAACTTGGATTCTACAGTCTATAGAGCAAAAGCTCAAGAACATTTCAAGAAAGAAAAAAAATAATCTATGAATGCAAGATGGCGAGGTGGAAACAACAGCAACAACAAGAACGAAGGGAAAAAACACAATATTCAAAAGAACAGTACATGTTTGGAGTTTAATAGACACACTCAATCTACAGCCTAAATGATAACAGAAATATAACTCTCTCTCAAGTCTCTATATATATTATCTTGTAAATAAAGAATATTTGGTAATTTAAACATACTGTAGGGTCATGACTTTGGGTAATACCAAAATAGCTCAGAATGCTGATCTAAGTCAAATACTGCAAGGGGCTATAGCCCCTTTCTGATTGGGCTCAAAGAGAGTTCTTTATTCCACATTTCTGGAAATTAGCCTGTTTGTCATCCCTTTCGGTGATACCTTAATTATATCCACATTAAAATACTTACCTGCAAGTATAGAGGCCAAAGACATAGACAAATTCTACATTTATACTTTCTTGGTTACTTCTGTTCATCAATGCAGGTATTTCAAGGCAGGAGGGGGCCCAGAACAGGTTGTGGTGTTATTATCAGAGCACTACACAGCTGTCGCTCAGACTGTAAATCTCCTGGCAGAGTGGCTTATATTTACAGGTAGGTGAAAACTCCTGGAAAAATCTCATTGCTTTTACAGGTTACTACTCTATCTTTACAAGAGTAGCCACTTTACACCAGCTGTCTTGGGCAAGGCTGACCTACATGTATTGACCAATAATCTGAACTGCTCATGGTAATATTCATGATTCCACTCAGGTACAATGAACATATGGCAGAAGCATCTCTAGGAGCTGATAGTTAGCGTAGTATCTAATCCAATCCGGGTATTTATAAAGTGCCAATATATAGTTGCCTAATCAAAGGCGCTGATGAGACTGAAAAACTACCCAAAAATGTCTGTTCATGATTCAAGTGGGAAAGACAAAAAAGCAGTGACTAGTTGTAAGCAATCTGAAATAGGTATTTCTTTAGTTGAGTTCTGAAAGTGGACAACTGGTGACAAGAGCGAAGGATTTCCAGGTGAACACAAATGTTGACAATTTGGTATACCGGTAATATATTCGTATTTAAAGGTACTAACCCCAAGACAGAGGTTAACAAATGGTGGAGAACTGTTTCCTGGTGCTAGTGACGTGTACATGCGTATACTAGCAACAACAAAAATGTGGACATTATAATAGATATAAACAAATAAATAGTTAATATAAATTGAATTGAATTTATTTATTGATTTATTGTCCATTAAAAATGGAAATTTGTTGTTCACTGGTACAGGTGTGTTACAAACAATGTACACAATTTTACAGATTATAAAACATAATAACAACATAACATCAATGGCGTTACATCCAACAATACAATGTGAGTACTTGCATAGGAATGGAGGAAAGCAATAAAATAGTACAATGTCTACAATACTTGCCCTCGTTTTACCCCACTGTTGTAAATGTGAATCGAATCCGGCACAAATGAATGTCTGAAGCGCTCCCACCTGCGGGGAACGCAGAGGCGAATTCCTGATCGACTAACATTATAACTATGGACCAAAGGATGTGATGGGTCTTTCATAATACGTGTTACCTTCAGCAATGTACGATCAACATATATATTTTCTAAACTGGGCAATTCCAAACCGATGATGCGCTGAGCAATTTTCCTTTTTTTATTTTTATTTTTTTTATTTTTATTTTTTCAGTTCCCTTTATGCTAGCACGTGTTCCATTAGCAAAGTAACAAATAAGATTGAATGTCAAGATAGACTGAATGATTAATTTATAAAACAGAACAAGAAGTGTATTGTCTACCCATCCTCTCCAACCAGCGCTATAGTTCTCTTTAGAACTATAAGCTCAAGAAAGATTACC